CTAGTAGGAGACGAGAACAAGTCAGGATACAGGATTCAGATCACGAGTCTCAGACTCGTGATCTGATTTGGCTATTGAAACCTGACGGTGCCCGTTCATTTTACAGCGCACAGGGGCCTGCTCTGTTCAATCTGAAGGCCCCGAGCAAGTTTAATTTTCCTGGCAACACAAGCTAGCTGAAATATGATTGGTTAAAAACTCTACCATAATAAATAAGTTATTTTTCAAGTGGCTTTCAATGTTATTTAAAATAACATTGAAAGCCACTCAACTAAGTGGAAATGATATGACGTAAAGAATACAGAGAATAATTTTGTTAACATATTTATGAAAATAAAATAACAAATTTATGTTATTCTCAGAAACTTTTCTGAGAATGTTTAGGCCAGCAGAGAAGGCCTTGCTGGCCCTCAGGGTCCGCCACTGAGGTCAGGTTTAACCAGAGACTCACTGTTCACACCCGTCACACTGAGATGGCTGGCAACGCTGGCTGTGTACTCACTCAGTTTGGCAAGATGTTTTACAGGGAGAAGCAAATCAACTACAGCTCTGTTGTCATGCCTCTGATGCACCAATTTACCGAGGGAAGCCAGAGTGAAAAGCATATTCTGTAAAAAAACAACTGGGAGAAGTGGTTTATGTTAAATGTATTAATGAAGATTCTCTTTTCAGCTATATTTGAGGAGCTTCAATCTCTGGATTGTTTCCTCGCTGAGCTTTACAAGTAGGTTTTTTTTTTTTTTTTTTGTGATTCATTTGAGCTACTTGAATGATGGTGGGAAATAAATCTCCACACCTATTGGTGTCTTTGCTGATTATTTATTACCAGCATGGCTCAATTAATATTCTCGTAATAAGCAATTGAGCTGTGAGCTGCTTTAGCTGATTTATATTCACACGTGTTGTCGATGACAATTGACTGTGAATATATTTTGAATACAGGCACCTGGATAGCAGCAGCAATGAGAGGCCTGATATCAGTTCACTCCAGCGACGTATTAAGGTACAACCACTGCTCTGCCTTTTACACAGATAGTGATAATGAAAAAATATGTAGGTGAAATTCATTTCACCTTTGTACCTTTCCCTCCTTAGCTGTGATATCCATACATCTTCCAGGTGTCATATCAATTAGCTGATTAAAACCCATTTCTTGAATCTGCCTGTCCCTTCCAGAAAGTGACACATGACATGGACATGTGCTATGGCATGATGGGAAGTTTGTTTCGTAGTGGATCCCGTCCGACTCTGTTTGCCTCTCAAGTGATGCGTTACGCAGACCTGTATGCAGCCTCCTTCATCAACTTGCTCTACTACCCCTTCAGTTATCTCTTCAGAGCTTCACATGTGCTGGTGGGCCATTCACACTTTTATTATTATTATTATTATTATTATTATTATTATTATAGCTTTTAGATGCATTGTATGATGATAATATTCTGTCTCAGATGCCCCACGAGTCAACAGTGGAGCACATCCATGTGAAAGTTAACGACAAAGAGTCGCCGCTGGCCACAAGAAACCGCCATGAGTTAGACTTAAAGGAGGTGGAATTGAAACGAAACCAAATGACCCGATCCGTCAGTGAGATCCAGCCCCCTCATTTCTTCCCGAAAGCTCCGCAGGAGATTACCCACTGCCATGATGAGGATGATGATGAAGAGTAGCACGTTGATGGAAAACGCTTTTTATTTATTTATTTGAAAGGACATGTGCTGTATGTTGAACGTTACGGAGGCCCTAAAGTGACATGCAGAAAACAATGTAATCTAGTTCTCGTTAGGACGACAAACATTCTCACCCAAATGAGAAAAAAGTAATGTTTGCATTGTTGAGTCTTTGTTTTGAGGGAAGAGTGTAATGCTGCTTTCGGGGAAGGTGGGAACTCAGACTTCCCACTTCGAAAAGTGCACTAGGATGTCCCTTTGAACTGAAATCGTCCGAGTGGCAAAGTCAGCAGAAAAAAAACCCAAGGACCCTTTGTTCACTTTAATGTGATGGCGATCCCCACGGAGACAGACGGTGAATGTCAAAACATCATTTTCAAGATTATAAAAATATTAAGCTTTAATTATTACATTGATTTAGTTGTTCAAAATAACATCACGTGACACCGCGTGATTTGTACTGACTGCATAAACATGTCTTATCTCCCTGTGTCAAATTATTTGGTGAAACGAATGAAATGCTTTGAAGATAAGATATTCTTTTATTTATATGATTTAGGAAGTTCTGAAGGTTAAGTTTGCTGAAGGTCAAAATGTGTTGTGAATGAACAAGAACATCACACAATTTATCAGAATCTTTGGCCTCAAACACTTTGAGGTCGGAACTGGGACAATCTCGGATTTGCCACTTTTCTCGAAAGCAGCATATGTCTTCCTCCGCTGCCATTTTGTCTCTGGGGTGAGATGAGATTTATCTCAGAATTGCTCACACAAAATAAATCTGTGATATTAACATGTATCCACAAATATATAATATAAATATATCAAATGTGTTCTTAAATGTGTGTGTTTCGATCTTGACCGCACGTGAATTGTCGAATGCGCGTTTGTGAATCTGCGGACCTGCACATTTTTGACACAAACATCACGCCTCAACATTAACGTGTTGAAAGGCCACCCCACTTTTGCCCGCGAGGAGGCCATGTTGCTGTTTCCATTGAATGGGAGCGAACATGGAAATTGAAAAACAGAAAACGAGCCTTTATCTGATCTTTTCAAATGTGTTTGTTGTAGACAAGTCGGGAAACAACAATTTGTTTTCGTCAAGCTTGTTTTGTGTTGACATGGAAGACATTCTTCGACTGATTCCAATTCTGCGCCAGTGCAGCAGCGGACAAAGAAAAGAAACCTAAACACATAATAAACGATCTGCTAAAGGCTCTTTTTCCCGTGTTTCACTTTACGTGTGTAACACGAAAAACAGGATATAGCTCGTTCCCGTTTAGTGGAGATCGCAAAAATTCCTCTTTGGGAATAAGGATGGCCTTTCAATAAGTTTATGTTGAGCTGTGACGTTTTGTCAAAAATAAATGCGCCTGTCCGCTGATGCGCAAGCGCACATTCGACAATTCACACGCAGTCGTGATAAAAGCGCACACAACTAAAAGAAAAGGTGGAAATCACAAATACATTTGTGGACACAAAAATCGCAGATGTATTTATGTGAATTATTTTGACACAAATCCCTCCCTATAGACCGACGGTCGGCAACCTGTGGCTCCGCAGCCGCGTACGGCTCTTTTGCGCCGCCCTAATGGCGCTTTTTCAAAAATGTTTGAAAAAGGAAAAAGATGGGAGAGGGAAATCTATTTTAATATGGCTTCATTACAAGGCTTTTAATTTTTTGGCGGCTCCAGACATATTTGTTTTTTGTATTTTTTGGTCCAATTCGGCTCTTTCAACATTTTGGGTTGCCGACCCCTGCGATGGACAATGGTAGCAGAAGAGTGCTTACGCTCTTTACTCAAAACAAAGACACCATTGTTTTTGTAATTATAAACACCAAATTCTAATTTGGTTGTAGACTGAAAACTCGGGGAAAAAGTGACACTTGATTACTTTTATTTAATTGAGATGTAAAAGACTACTTTCGGAGTAAAAATAGACATGGTAGTCTTAAATTAATTACATGTTGCCCAACATGAACATGGATATACTTTAGACTGAGTTCTTCCTTAATGGTCGACTGATACCAAACTTGAAAGTCCTGTACAATGTTATTTTGATCACATGACTGTTTTCTTTGATGTCGTCTTTTCTTGTGCTGCTGTTAAATCTGCCGGAGTGCACCCACTTCCAGATTTTCGACCCTTTCCCTTGGTCAGTTCTCAGATGCCTTTAATGAGCTTTGTGTTTCCTCTTCAAACAAGTTACCTCCTGGTTCCACTCATCCTGCTGTGCTACACTGGATTCGGTGGCTCCATTACAAACTGTGCAGTCAAAAGCTAGACCCGAGCCATGGTTTAATGACAGAACTCGCGCTGCTAAACAAGAGTGCCGCAAAGCTGAACTTAAGTGGAAAAAAGACAAGCTGCAGATCTATCAAATCCGGAAATACTGTTGCCGTAATTACCAGATCGCAGTTAAAGAGGCCAAAAAAGAACATTTATCAAACTTAATTCAGGCTAACCGTCACAACCTACGTGTAAAACTATTGATTCTGTACTTCAACCCCCTTAGCCTATTTACTTCAACTTTTCCCCTAAAATATGCAATCAGTTCCTGCAGTTTTTCACTGATAAGGTTTCTACAGCTAGCACTCTTGTTTCAAACACCACCTTTGACCCCTCCATCCATGTTCCATGTTCAGCGGTGTTAAATTCTTTTGAAATGTTTCCTTGACATTTTTAGAGGAGGTGGTTTGCGAGACTTAGCCATTTGGCCTCCCTTACTTCTCTGTTCAATTCGAAGGGTGTTCTCCCAGGGTTTGGTAAATAGGTCTCGGCCATTATCAACAGCAGTCTGTCTTCTGGTGTCGTTCCCCAACAATTGAAACATGCAGTGGTGCAACCCTGACTGAAGGAAGAAACTTGACTTTGATCAATCTGTTTTTGTTATTTTTGCTCCATTTATACTCGATATAAATTGGTGGTTGTTTTAAAGTGCTCTATGAATACAGTTGAGTTGAGTATTATGCACGTGTCAGTCGTTGCAGATACATGATGACCAAGCCTAACTGGTTTGCCCCAATTGGTTTATTGGGGGAGTTTCCGCCACCTCTGGTTTTACTTGTTTTCCTTTCCTTGTCAACATTGCGTTTCCGCTGGAATGTAAAATATTGGATTAAATTCTAATAATTAGCTGGAATGGCTGACTTGATTGCACAGGATGACACTGTACGCGCATGGGGGAAGATATAAAATACTGCTGTAGACACACAGCTGTCTCACTGGAAGCTGTGTGTGCACAAAACCAATTCTACTTCTTCTTTTACATATTCAATGGAACAATTTAATCTGGCTGTTATCTTGAATGCACGTGCTGTAAAACCTTGATTGCATTTATGCATATGAATCAAATGGTTTTGTTTTACTACCAAATGAATTTTCCATTTTGTGGAAGGTTGCCATTTTTCCAATATGCTGTATTAAAAAGGTTTTTACTCTTAAATGACAGCTTTTGATTTTACTCAAACAGCCATCTTTGCAGAACAACATATGTGTATCATACATTAAACACTTACTAACTCAGGGCAACCCGGTGGTCGACTGGTTAGCGCAGAGGTCGTGGGTTCCCGGCTGCGGCCTTCCTGTGTGGAATTTGCATGTTCTCCCCGTGCCTGCGTGGGTTTTTTGCGGGTACTCCGGTTTCCTCCCACATTCCAAAACATGCATGGCAGGCTGATTGAACACTCAAAATTGTCCGAGGTGTGAGTGTGAGCGCGAATGGTTGTTTGTCTCTGTGTGCTCTGCGATTGGCTGGCAACTGGTTGAGGTTGTCCCCCGTTTACTGCCAGAAGACAGCTGGGATAGGCTCCAGCGGATCGGAAAATGGATGGTTGGATGCACTTACGAACTCATAGTGTGTAATACCTGTCATACAACAGCCATATTACAAATGCTGAGAGAGTGCTGGCCTTCACCAAGGTCAAATTAGGCATCTGTGCCAAAGATAAACTTTATTCCTTGGATATCGCCGACATCTCTCCTTTTCACCCCCTTCACGAAACTGAGTATGAATTTACTTTTTATTTTTGGATATAAAGTATTTTCGACATGTACTGTTCCATGTACTGGTATTTATTTTTAATTGTTACCTTATTCGCTATGATAGGAGTAAAACAGAATATTATTGTGGAGTGAAAAATATGTATTTTTTGTTTTCGTTTACTTTATACAACCTTTAATGTATTTTTTTTAAATGATAATAGGAGATATTTGTACAGTGCTTTTGACATACGTCTGTGTTTGATGCAATGTTTTAGATACAAATCACTTTGGGTTCCTCAAACAATGGATGGGGCCATTTTTGCAATTGCACTATTGAACTTGATTACAGAATCTAAAATTGTGTTTATATTACTGACTCCATTCAAAATTTCACAAGGGCTGACTTGCATTTTCAGCCTTTTTGTCAACAATAAAAAACGATTAGATGTTCCCATTTGTCCCATTGTAATTCTTTCATCAATAAAATCTAAGTTGTACAATAACCATCATCATGACAGTTGCGATGATTCATTTATGGTACCCATGTGTCGATTCAGGTCTCCACAAATTTTATTTGAGTCTGGTTTGGTCTTCAGGTGAAAAGTTTGGAGAGTCCAACGCAGTCTATCAAAATGATTCGGTATAATACTGTGCAAATGTACGCACAGATTGAGTTTGCTCCTTTTGAGCGTGTGCAACATTGGGTAACATCTCAGCATTACGTCTCAGGGACACCATTAAGGTCACGCAGCTGTTTAGGCCAACGGACTGCTGATAAGTTTGTCCTTTCGCGCATTATCAGAAGTCTGCTGATGATGCAGTCAGCGAAGGGCATTTGATAACACGTTCTTAATGCTTTGGGGGAATCCAAATATTATAACTGGTGCTTTTATGCTTTTGAAGAAAGCTGCCTTTCTCAGTGTACTGTATAGTGTGGAGAAAGGGATTTTTTTTGTATGTGGGTCATCTACTTGTAAGTGGATTCAAAACTAAATACCTTACTTACGTATTTATTTTCTTAGTTTGCATTTTTTTAATCCTGTTTTGCTTTCAAATGTGTAAATGTCTCCCAGTTGGAAATGATTTAAAATTTTAGGCCATGATACAAAACCCGATTTCAAGTGAAGTAGGCCGGTTTGCTTTTCAATCTGTGTTTTGGAACATTCCACAGGCAAACACGTTAATTGGAAAAGTGAGAGGCATGATTGAAAAATAAAAGGAGCCTCGAAAGCAAGAAATGGGTGAAGCTCACTTTGTGAACAATTGTATGAGTTAATAGTCCTGCAGTTCAAGAACATTTCTCAACATGCGATTGCAAGGTATTTGGGGACTTCATCATCTACAGTTTATAGTACCAAAAGAGTCAGAGAATCTCTGTAAAAAAAAGCGACAAGGACAAAAATGTGACCTTCGATGTTTCAGGCAGCACTGCATTAAACACACACACACACACACACACACGCGCACACACACACACACACACCATTGTGGAAAGAGATTGCCGCGTGGGTTCAGGAACACTTCAGAAAACCAGTGTCGGTAAACACAGTTTAGTTTCTCTGAGCCATTCTGGGACAGAATGATGCAATGGGGGGAAAAAAACCTTTGCTTTGGTCTGACGAGTCCACATTTCAAATTGTTTTTTTGGAATGTTTGGAACGCATAGACGAACAACCACCCGCGCTCACACTCACACCAAGCGACAATTTAGAGTGTTCCATAAACCTGCCATGCATGTTTTGGGAATGTGGGAGGAAACCGGAGTCCCCGGAGAAAAGCCACGCAGGTTCGGGGAGAACAGCTTGGGTAACCATCAATGCTGAAAGGTGCATCCAGGTTTTGGAGCAACATTTAGCATGCTGCCATCCAAGCAACACCTTTTTCAACGACGTCGCTGCTTAGTTGAGACAATGCCTCGCCACATTCTGCACGTGTTACAATAAGCATCTGCAAAACATTGTATTCTGTTTTTATTTACATAAAACCCCAACTTCATTGGAAATGGGTTTTGTAGTGAGGACAATCAAGACAAGAAAATGAAAAATGAATTTTGGTTTTGATTCTTCACACACACACACACACACACACACACACAAAACCCTAATTTTATATTTTAATGTATGTAGTGTGAAACTGTGCAAAAGGTCAAAAAGTTCAAGCGAGGGCTGAATAATTCTGCAAACCAATATATGTTTTCAGTTTGGATTTGAAGGCAGTGAGCGTCTGAGTGGCAGAGGTCAGGTGGTCAAGAGCTCCAGAGCGGCTGAAAGCTCTCCTCTCCCTGATACGGAGATGAGCAAAGGCTGGATGAAGGAAGAGGAGGCGGAGGAGGACCTGAGGGTGCGGGTTCAAGGAGCCTTATGGAGGAGGTCACACAAATATGGAGGTGCCATGTTGGTAGTGGCCTTGAAGGTGTCAAAAGCAGGTGTTTGAAGTGGATCCTCTTTTGCCAAAAATGTTGTGAGCATCTTCGGATGCAAATTATTACATTTTGTTTGGAACACAGAGATCAAGACATTTTGCCATTAAAAGTGTGGAGGAAAAAAAAGCTGTTTTCCATCGAAACAATGATGACCAGATGAGTGAAATCTGCCAATAATTCAAATTCTCCCAATTAATTCTCAAGATAAACTTCAATGGAGCATGTCTTTACTTTTCTTCGTCAAATTACATGAAAAGAAACCAGAAATAGTTCTAAATTTAATGTGCAAGAATATCCATATCTCTCACTGACTTCTGTTTTTAAGGGAAAACAATTGGCTGCTTTCCCTTAAAAACAAAAGTCAGTATCATCTGGATATTTTTTTTTAATATTTTAACCCTTTCATGCACCAATAATGATAACTTGTAACCTAATAACATGATAAGCTGTCCACTGTAATAACCGCTGTCCCCCAAAGGGTTAAAAAATTGACTTGTTCATTTGTACGCCTATCCCATGAACTCCATGTGAACACTGAACAAAATTGCGTACCTTAACGGAAGAGGTGCGATCTTGTTTAAGACAATTATAAACTTCAGCAGTTTCAGCAATTGTTGCAGCGTTTTACGATCACATGTACAGGACATGAAGTCATCAGAGCACAGCTCCGCTTCCCACTCCTCTGTCACATTTTACGATCGCAGTGACGATCAGGAACACTTGCAGTAAATGTACGACGCCTAAGTGCAGCGTCAACACCTTCTTGTAACTGGATGATGAGCAACAGAAGCTCACAACGGAATATGAGAATACATTTGTAAGTCGCCCACAAAACGGAAGTTAAATGATCAAAAACACACAGAAAATCTCTCTCAGAATGCCTCATCCTGAGGCGGACGAACTGGCGCACATTCGAAAGGGGCATGGCACTGTCAAAAATGTCCTACACAATCACAATCATAAACAGAATTACTCACAGCTGTCAGTGTCCCGTCAAAACAAAACATTGCTATCTTGCTACGGGGAGATACGACGACTGTATGGAAAAAAAACAACCCGACGTGCTCGTCTACTTGAGCAGGTGTATCAGCTGATCCTGCAGGTTTTGAGAGTGCTCCACGCTGGAAGGAAGAAGAGAACAAAGCAGCAAGCGTCAAATGATACCGTGGCTTAAGCTGGAGACGGATGGGTGCGAGAGTGAGACAAAAGCACAACAAAAGGGTTGGGTGCTTACTTCTTCTGGATGGCCTCCTGCCTAAATGAAACAAAGAGGAGAGCGTTTCATTTCGAAATGTCGGGATGTTTGTGCATTTTATTTGTGTGAGGTCGAAAATGACGTACTGATATTGTAAGTGCGTAGTGATGATGGACATTTTCCGGAGACTCTGAAAGACAGATGGGACGACAATTATGAGGGGCACCGAGCTGATCTCCAAGACATTTGCGGTCGCTCACAGGGGAGACAAAAAAAATACAATCTCACACATTTGATTTGTCACCTGGTAAAACCGATCTAAATTCCCATTCAATCAATGCAGCTGTTCTCCCACGCCCTCCTGAGATTTTAGAGTAAACGAGCCGTCAGTCAAATATGTCATTGTCGTCCGTGAAATTGGTAGACGTGAACTGATGGACTGGCAGGGTGACAAAGTTGCTTTGTTTGGATTTTTAATTGCGTTTAATACACAAATGTTTGCTAATAAATATCTTATTTGTATAGTACATTTTGACTGGGTTATATTTGTCCATTCAAATCTTTCAGATGACATGAGAGCGCTGACTGAAACACCCCAATGCCCCTTGATTTCTTCTGGTTTAGCCATTGCTGTGTCCATTTTTGGCCAGGTGCATAATGGGGCATTTTCTCCTGTGCTGCATTAGTTGGAAAAGGCGTTTGTGGTTTTTTCCCTATTCTTATTCATCGTTAATTCACATCATTTGGTTTTCAAAATAAAGTCCGTGTTTTATAATTACATTGAGAAAATAAGCATATATTGAAAACCACTTCATATACTGTACTGTACTTTCAAGTACAAAAACTATCAAGATATAACATTTTGTTCATATCGTTCAACACTACTTATTCTCAAATTTCACTCATAGGATTAATAAAGTATCTATCTATCTATCCATTCATCCATCTACATCATGACCTAAAATTATAACAATACACCAATTGAACATTAATTTTCCTCATCATTTATTTTCACAATTATTTGGTAAATTGCTTCAGCTTTCTAGCAGACATCTGAAGGTTTGGGGTGCTAAATGTACGTGGATTAAACTGTTCATAAGGCGTAGCTGCAGGCACCTGACGAAAAACAAAGAAAGAATTATGATGGCTCCACTATGCTTTATCACAAGTATAATGTTTTGTTGGTAAATGCAGTGATGGCAATTTTTTTTCCACAATGATGATTCAAAATCTTCCAAAAACATGGAGCAGGGTTGACAGGTTGAGTTTATTTTCGACATCCATATAAATTAATAAAATAATAATAAATTAATTTGCGGAATGAAACGCATTTAATCAAAACTGACCAGCGTTTATAACACACACATATATACATACTCACATCCTCTGAGTGTAGGATGGCGTCCTCCTGAATAACCATATTTCTGGCTGCTTGACCGAGAAGCTGGAAGGCATCATAACAACTATTAGGCAGGATTTGGAATTACTTACAAAAAGAACACTGGCGTTGCACATCACAGATCAACCCTACATACAAACGCCAACTGGTAGACTGATACATGTAAGGCTACCAGTATGGCTTCCTGATTTCATGACATTTCGTTTTGGGCCAGTGGTGCAGTAATTAGGTCTTCGCGAAATCTGCGATCAACGAACTTTGTCCATTCAAAGTAGGGTTAGCATTAGCGAAATGAAACAAAGCACAATCTTACCTAATTCTTATACAACATAATATAATTATACTGCAGTCTTACACCGCTGCTAACAAATTGCCATTCAAGAGCGCTGCAACTACTACAAAAACATGGTGAAGGATCCAATCAGCTGTTTGGTTGGTAGCTCCGATGAAATGTGAAGCTGCTCGGAAATACTAAAAACAAAGGCATTAACTAACCTCTTGGCTGCGGGAAACTTTAAGCACCTGGCGCGTCAATGCGATCGCGTCTACGCTGCAAGAACCCACTTTATCAGATAATAATCCTTTAACGGACTGCCCAAACCGAGGTTGAGCTTCGGTCGACGCCATGTTTGGGTTACAATGGGCTAACAACGGCATGCGAGCAGGGACAAAACAGTGCGCGTCTTCCTCAAAACTTTTAGTATTCAAAATTTTATTTTTATAATGGAAAAGAATGTAATCGGTATTTAGCTGGCATAGGTAGAAGAACAAAGAAGCTATTACCGTCAGTAATTAATCGACATTTTTGAACAAGTGACATTAGATCATTTCCGGCAGCACAACTACCATGGCAAACTGGCTGCGAATCACCATCTATGCCATGCTGTGCTAATTATGTTATGATTTCCCCATCCCTTTTCTATAAGTCTTATTTCTCTGATACTCAAAACAGTCGCAGCTGAGGAGCCGAGCACAGCTGTATTTGGCGAGAGGTAGGGTACTGGATGCCAACCAATCACAGAGTGCACTTCACACTCAAATTCACATCTTTAGACAATTTATGCAGGGGTCGCCCACCTTTTCCATACTCAAAGCTACTTCTTGGCTACTGATGACTGCAAAGGGCTTTCAGTTTGATACGCACGGCTCAAATGTGCTCAAATTACCTTGAGTTAGATTTTATTAGTAATGAATCAAATTAATGTAGACAATCAACATTTCAATGATATTCCACAATTATCATAAATGATTTAACAAGTTCGTAGACAGATGAATATCAATATGCAACACTTTATTTTTCATACATTTCGGAATGATTAAAAGGCCAGTCCGAGAGGAGCTCAGAGCTCACAAGGGTCCATACAATAAAAGTAGTTCTGAAACATATGAAGGCCCTAGACCGGGTGTCGGCCACCCACGGCTCCAGAGCCGCATGTGGCTCTTTAGCGCCGCCCTAGTGGCTCCCCGAGGCTTTTTCAAAATGTTTGAAAATGGAAAAAGATGGGGGAGGGACATATATTTTTTGTTTTAATATGGTTAATGTAGGTGGACAAACATGACACAAACATTCTTAACGTTTTCTAATGCTGGAAAATTGTGAAGAATAAAATTTACATTTCAACATTTCTGTCAACCAAGATTTGCGTCATAGCCTGCGACACATGTTTCTATTAGCAGGGTGGGATGCCAGGCAAAAAAAAAAAAAGAAAAAAAAAACCCGGCTTTTCATGTACAATTCACTGAGGGTACTGGCAAAGAATGGGAATCTGGAGGGCCGATAAAAGCATTTTAAAACGGTACACGTGAACGACGTAGTTAACACGCTGCAAAAGGTTTTTGTTACATTTTTGATATGTGGAATATAAGTGAGCTCAGAAGCCACAATAACACCGAGGGTGAGTTGAGGGGTTTAAAGACAGTGTTCCTATTTTCGTTAAAAGTTTCTCTCTCTGGGCCTCAGGACCGGTGATTACAACTTGAGTTTTGGCCTGGTTAAGATGAAGAAAGTTCTCTGCCATCCAGGATTTGATGTCCATGACACAGTTAAAAAGACTAACAACCAAATGGCCAGATATGGAATATATGGACCTGTACATCTATCTCAGCAAAATGACCAGTTTATTTTTTTCATCAATCTGTTATAATGTTTAAAATATAATATGCACCATTCATTCAGATCTGCATATGTATATTCTAATCAGTGCTTGGTATACATGATTGATAACTAGCTGTAATACTGACAAAATGATATTATTTACAGTTTTTTTTAATTCATTGTTTGATTCGATTGTATGAAAAAGAAAAAACAATCAATATTCGTTTAGAGTGCAACATTGACTTGTCAAAAGCCTTTTGACAAAAGTAGTAGATTTACATTTGAGTTTTTAATTCTGTTTTATTTCAGGAGTCCTTAGCAGGGAAAGCACGAAAAACAAGAAGGGTCTGAAAGCCGAAGCTGCCTGTTTTCTATCTCTCCCGGCTGCAACACCCCTGGAGCTGAGCGAGATGGAAAAAAGGGCAGAGCAAGCGGCACTCCAAGCCCTGAGCTGGACATGCCTGATTTAAAACAATTTGAAATTAAAATAAAAGAAGGCAGAGCAGCGGCACTCCAAGCCCTGAGCTGGACATGCCTGATTTAAAACAATTTGAAATTAAAATAAAAGAATAAGGTTTGCAGGAAGTCACAGGTGTGTCTTCGTTTGACGGTGGCCTGAAGATGAGAGTGGCCTCTGTTAGTGTGGGTGTGCGGGTGTCTCTGTAGCTCATTTCCTACCTCGGCCTGCATGATTCCTACCTTAGATTGTATTTCTGCTTGCACATCAAGGACTGTAAACTCTGTTTTTGTTATAATTCATCATGAAAAAAGAGCATTCAAGCATCCAGTTTTTCTTCATGAGATGGTCGGGTTAAACTTGCAGCTCTCTGCTCGTGTGGATTCATATTCCCTCTAATCCAGGGGTCCCCAACCTTTTTTGCCCCACGGACCGGTTTAAGTCAGACAATATTTTCAGGGACCGGCATTTAAGGTGTGGCGGATTAATACAACAAAATAATATGGTATGAGCTGCATGAAAACTGGTGTTTTCGAAATATAATAAAAAACACAAGGAGCGTCTAATCTGGTCGCAACACTCTTATCGCTCTGGTAATGTTTAATGCCTTCAAAATACGATACAACGCAAATTCAAAGTGCATGAAAATGACGACTCACCACAGCCCCGAGCTTGATTTTCGGCAATCAGACAGTCCCATCTCGGGGTAATAGGAGACAATGACACCTCAAGTGTGTGGTTTATGTCCAGTCTACTTCGTAATTTTGTTTTAGTCGCTGTTGCTGCAGAAACTCCACACCTCACACAGGTAGGATGTCGGAAATAGCAACAGTGCTATTGTGGCGATCTCAGAGTATTCAGCCATAACTTTGATCCAGTTGTTTCGAACGTACTTTTAAGGCCACCGTCATTTGCGATCTCCAAGCAGCTTTTTTACTCATTTTGCGGGCTTCAGCGTTTTGTTTATGAGCGTCATCGGTCACCTGACCGAGAAGTGTGCCTTGACGTGAGTCAAGCGTGACACAGACGGATGTAACAGAGAATCCGGTAATTTTTCAAAATAAAACATATTTCGCATTCCGAAATAAATAAAACGGAAATAAGGCAAGTTCTTTCTGTGCGGCCCGGTACCAAATGCCCTGCGGACCGGTACCGGTCCGCGGCCCGGCGGTTGGGGACCCCTGCTCTAATCTGTGGGCGTGAGCAACTGCACACTGCTCTCACCCTCTCAGGGCACAAAGTGACATTGGTTGCACACCATGCACACACATTATGTTTGTACATTCATTCCTTAATTTCCACCCCGGCTTAATCTCCAAACAGGACAACACACCACACCATTCCCACTTAGCTGACAGTTTCAAAAGTGACTCCTAGTTTGCACACTCAGTTGTTCTACTACGGTTTGAGGCATACATTGACATACACATACACTCACAGCTACCGCTGACGTGATATGACGCTGCAGTCTCCATTCAGGAAGTCCAAACATGGGTACAGTTTATGAGCCCCGAAAATGAGGCTATTTCATTCATTTTAGAGGTCAGGTGACTAGAAATGTTTGTGTTTTATTTAATGACAAGCTTTACATTATTTTTGAGTTGACAATGTGGGACCACATTGATACAGACATAAAATAAAAGTAATAAACAAGAGCTGGTTTTCACAAATCTCTATTCAATGATTTGTTGTATTTTGGTATATAGCTTGATGGGCGGCACCATGGTTGACTGGTTAGCACGTTTGTCTTACAGTGCAGAGGTGGAGGGTTCGATTCTGGCTCCAGTCTTCCTGTGTAGAGTTTGCATGCGTGGGTTTTCTCCGGGTACTCCTGAGATCCAAAAACATGCTTGGCAGGTTAATGGAACACTCTAAGTTGTCCCTCGGTGTGATTGTGAGGATGAATGGTTGTTTGTCTGTGTGTGCACTGTGATCGGCTGACAACCGGTTCAGGGTGTACCCTGCACACTGCCCAAAGACGACTGGAATGGGCACAAGCACGCCCGTGACCTCCGTGATGATAAGCGGATAAGATGATTGATGAATGGCGGTGATTTGATTTCTTTTTTTTTGGGGGGGGGGGCAAACGTATCGACATCATATCACTTTTTATGATGTCAGGTTTGTGTGCATGTCTGATGTGATTTTTTGAATTGATGAACTTTGTTCAAATGTATTTTATATGAAATGAACAAGTTAATTCAAAAACTTGTGAACTGAACTTTGAACAATAAATTTGTATAGAAAATGAACTTTCCCAATACTGGTGATGGGGCGATTACACCTGGTTTCACAGTCATAATGGCCCAGTGAAGGTAACCAACAGTAACTTGGATGTGACTGACAAAAGAAATGAGTTTGACACCTCTAATTTACAGTCTTCAATCAAACAATTATGCATGCTTGATTTTTTTGGTGGGAGGCTAATGTGGAAGGAAGAGCCACATTTCTGGAGATAGCCCACGCAAGCGTGGGTGGAACCTCTCAAAAGTAAAGCAGATGTACATGAAAAAAAAAATGATTGTGTCTTTTTTTATGATGAAATATACATATGAGGTACAGCAGGGGTGTCAAATTCATTTGTGTCACAGGCCACATTGAAGTTCCCGTTTTCCTTGGGGGGCCGTTATGACTATGAAGGCATTTAAATAAGTCAAGAATAATGGTTGATTCAATTATTGTTTAAGTTACAGTAATGAGGGATTTGGTAACAAAAAATGTTGACAGTATCTCTCATATTTATGACATATGAGAAGTTGAAATTTTAGTCCAGGTTTTAGCAATACAGTTAAACCTCGGTTTTCGAACGTCTCTGTTCTCGACCAAATTAGTTTTCGCCCAAAAATTTTGAATTTTTTTTATGTCTCGGATTACGACCGAAAATCGGTTCTCGACCGAACTGAGCGCACTTGAATGCGCTACTTGACTCCTCTCGCCTTCCTTACACGAGGAAGTGACGCTTCCTCGGGTAGACGAGGAAGTGACGCCGGTTTTCGAACAGCCTTCTGGAGATCAGACGTGTACAATAAAGATTTTCTTTTTAAAAAGAGCGTGGTTTCGGTTTTCGAACAGCCTTCTGGAACGGATTATGGTCGAAAACCGTAACTGTGTCTGT